ATCTCTTCTATGCGCAGCATCAATCACGTTGGCTTGCTGGGGGGGGGGCAGGGGGAGGCTCCCCCTTTCCTGTCAACACTGGCCCTCGTATGATGCACCCTCTGTGGCATTTCCTTACTTTATGTGCTTTGAAAGATTTCAGTGGTTTGATATGTTTAGACACAACACTCTGAAGCAATAAATCAATTTAATGTGTCATTTTCTGAAGAGAGGATTTCGTGAGGAGGCTTTGCCCATGAAGTTTTTCTCCATCTGTCCGTCCTCCGCTCCATCCCCAATTCCTTGCACAGTTGCTCTTACAATCAAACTGATATCCACTCCATTGCGATGCGCATTCCTCATAATTATCCTCAAAATACAATTGCTGGGCAAGATGGCCAGTTGGCCTGATCTTCTCTTCTCTCTCCCACCGTCCATCTGCTATACGTACTATTAATGGATTAGCAATAGCTGCTGCTTAGGTAGATTCGTGAAGCTATCCCGGCTTAGAGTGACAACCAAGCAATGGTTCACTATCCCTTATTAGTCTCTTCACAGAAATCAGATCTGATCGATGGTTGTCAAATTCACTGTAAGACCTTCAAATGCATCCTTCGGCAATGGCCGTCTCAAAACAATGCTAAGGTGACTTGTGGATTGCGGTTCCCACGTTCCCGAGAACGGTCATTGGCTGAAAGGACTTTTGGGCAGGTTTTCCAACAACAACTCTGGGCATTGCAAGGATAAGGAGCAGAAGTCCCCGTTCTCATGTTATGTGTTTTCTAAGCAAGAAGAAGGCATCTCTGCGTCGAACAACAATCGCATTTCACTATAGTACATGATCCCCAAAACAGAAAGCAGGGATATTTATATATGAGATCCAAAGTGATGAACTGAGAGGTTGTGGTTTTCATTGCTTTGGAAGAGACCTTGTGGGCCATCTAGTTCAACCCCCACTCAAGAAGCAGGAAAATCACATACAAAGCGCTCCCGGCAGATGGTCTCTTTCAATTGGTATATTTCTCTGTTGTTTATAGCAGCCTTTCTCAACCTGGGGGTCAGGACCCGGGGGGGGGGGTGTCATGAGGGGGTTTCAGAGGGGTCGCCAAAGACCACCAGGAAACACATATTACTGATGGTCTTAGGAGCTTCTTTGGCAGAGAAGGCTGAAGATCTCTCCGTCTGTCCTTCTCTTCCTTTTTGGCCAGCCTCTCAGCCAAGGGGAGGGTTGTTCCTGAGACTCCGAGTGGGGAGGGGAGAGCAGGTGTGCTCAGCACATAGCATTGTGCGCATGTGCGGATGAGAGAGAGCGTACAAGGCTGGAGGGAGGCTCACGTCAGCAAGTCACTTCAGGAAAAAAGCACCCGCATGACATGGGACGGATTGTGGCCCAGAAGCATCAGGAGGAGAAGCAGAAGCAACTTAGGCAATTTGCAACGCTATTTATTAGAGAGAAAAAAACAGTCTTTCCTTTTGTTTTGTTTTTATTAATGCCCCCATTAGATAATGCATTAGGATGTGGGTGAACTACAACTCCCAAAATCATGGTCAATCCTCCCCAAATCCCACCAGTGTTCACAGTTGGCCATATTGAGTATTTGTGCCAAGTGTGGTCCAGATCCATCATTGTTTGAGCCCACAGTGCTCTCTGGATGTAGGTGAATACAACTCCCAAACTCAAGGTCAATGCCCACCAAACCCTTCCAGTATTTTCTCTTGGTCATGGGAGTTCTGTGTGCCAAGTTTGGTTCACTCCCATCATTGGTAGAGTTCAGAATGCTCTTTGATTGTAGGTGAACTGTACATCCCAGCAACTACAACTCCCAAATGTCAAGGTCTACTTTCCCCAAACTCCACCAGTGTTCACATTTGGGCATATTGAGCATTCGTGACAAGTTTGGTCCAGATCCATCATTGTTTGAGTCCACAGTGCTTTCTGGATGTAGGTGAACTACAACTCCAAAACTCAAGCTCAATGCCCACCAAACCCTTCCAGCATTTTCTCTTGGCCATGGGAGTTCTATGTAATTCCATTGTTGGTGGAGTTCCGAATGGTCCTTGATTGTAGGTGGACTATAAATCCCAGCAAGTACAACTCCCAAATGACAAAATCAATTCCCCTTCCCCCCCAAACCCACCAGTATCCAAATTTGGGCGTATCAGGTATTTGTGCCAAATTTGGTCCAGTGAATGAAAAAACATCCTGCAGATCTGATATTTACATTATGATTCCTATCAGTAGCAAAAGTGGAGTTCTGAAGTAGCAACGGAAATAATTTTTATGGTTGGGGGTCAACACAACAGGAGGAACTGTATTAAAGGGTTGTGGCATGGGGAAGGCTGAGAGCCATTGGCTTATAGGTATTAAATGTCGCTCTTTGTTTATTTATAAAGTGTGGCAGTCTATTGATTTGTCCTGCCTGTGGCCACCTCTGAATCTTCCCGAGACGGACTATAAATGTGAAGGCACACAGGATTGCTGAGAAAGGCATTCTTGTGGGCCACAGGTGTGTGTGCATCGCAAACTGATACTTCTCTCCGTTTCCTGCATTTATGAAAATCTCTACCACATAGATATCCTGTCAAACTATTTTCTTCAGCCCTTCCTTTGAAGGAAGCTAAATACACTTGTCACAGATGTGCAAACTAACTGTTAGTATGAGAGCAATCCTGCACATGATGTGTGTGTGTATATAATTTTACTTTTTATTTCAGCGAGATCAAATATTTATAGCTTTCAGGCATAAGTTTCTGGTCCATCTGGATAAGGATAGAAAAATGCAGTTAATTAGTAAAATAAATGAGACAAGGAGCGGATTAATTCTGTCTCACACAGATTGTGTTTTATTATCAAGGTTTTTCTGTCTTCATTTAATATGGTAATATGGAAATTCTGTCGCGGTGATTCATCTGGAGGTTGTTGTTTGGTTTCTGCCACGTTCAGAGAGATAGAAAGAATTTGTATTAAACATGCAAACCAGATACAGATTTCAGGGTTTTTTTTTTGTTTCTTTTTTATTTATTTATTTTAATTTCAGGCTCATTGTGTGTGGGAAAAGTTGCCCATCGCTGTTGCAATGGCAAACAGGAAGTTGCTCTTTCCTTCCTTTGTTGGGCTGTGGTTTTCCTAAAAGAGAGCATTAAACTTTCTTTAGGAATGCACAGAAATCTTACGCAGATCAAAGCCATTTGTGTTGGACAATTTGAGTTGCAGGACTTAATGGGGCCAGCTGGGAGTTAGGGAACCGTGAGTTCCTAATATTTCCCTTCTTCCCCCGCCACCATGTCTTTTTTGCATTTTATACATATCAGAGTGAAGAAAAACAAAGTTATATGCACACTCCAGTCTTGGTCAACAATAGAAGTACTCTGAGCGTGTGCAAATTTTGCAGGAGTCAGATCAAGTGTGGGAAGTGGTATCATTTGCTTGTAAAAATGGCAGCACCCTGTTATAAAAGAGCTTCAAAAGTAAAGGGGGGTGGGGGAGAGAGAAGGTGCTTTGATGGGTGGCGTCTTCACTTGCTTTTCCCCAAGTTGTTGCCTAAATGACAGCAAATGGGGAGGGAGAGCCAATACCCCAGAAGACAGGAGCAGAATTGAAAACGATCTTCACAGATGAGAGAGATGATGGGCCAAAATCAACACAACGAAGTTCAGCAGGGGGAAATGCAAGATGCTCCACTTAGGCAGAAAAAAGAAAATGCAAAGACACAGAATGGAGGGCGACAATGCCTGGCTCGACAGCAGGACGTGTGAAAAAGATCTTGGAGTGAGTCCTCATGGGGAGAAAGGGGGACATGAGCCAACAATGTGGTGCGGCAGCAAAAAAAGTCAATGCGATTTTGGCCTGCATCAATAGGAGTCTAGTGTCTAGATCCAGGGAAGTAATGCTCCCCATGCTCTATTCTGCCTTGCTCAGAACACACCGTGTCCAATTCTGGGCACCACAATTGAAGGGAGATGTTGATAAGCTGGAATGTGTCTAGAGGAGGGCGACTCAAATGATCAGGAGTGTGGAGAACAAGCCCTATGAGGAGCAGCTTAAAGAGCTGGGCATGTTTAACCTTCAGAAGAGAAAACTGAGAGGAGACATGATGGCCATGGATAAATATGTGAGGGGAAGTCACAGGGAGGAGGGAGCAAGCTTGATTTCTTCTGCCCTGGAGATTAGGACGCGATGGAACAATGGCTTCAAAATACAGGAAAGGAGATTCCACCTGAACATGAAGAACTTCCTGACTGTGAGAGCTGTTCAGCAGTGGAACTCTCTTCCCCGGAGTATGGTGGAGGCTCCTTTTTTGGAGGCTTTTAAACAGAGGCTGGATGGCCATCTGTCAGGGGTGCTTTGAATACGATTGTCCTGCTTCTTGGCAAAATGGGGTTGGGCTGGATGATGGTTAACTCTATGAGTCTGGATGATGGCCCACGAGGTCTCTTCCAACTCTATGGGTCTATGAAATGAAGTTCCTTTATTTGATGAGGGTTTTTTTGAAGGATGAGGTTGGCTTCCCTGAGAGAACACGCATACCAGGAGGAGGACATTGATGTTTGTCAACCTGAAGGCACCAAAGTGTTTTTTCTAAGAGACTTTTTCCTCCTTTGAGGGAATGTTCCCTTCCATAGAATAGACCAAAGATGGCAATGTGTATGGTTATGTGTTCAGTGCCACTAGCATATATGTTCCTTTGGAGCACTGTCTCAAGTAAAGAAAAGTTTACTACTCAGAGGAGTTTATCTAAAATTTGAATAGGAAGAAAAATGAGTAGTTCAATTCAAGAGTTGTGTGAAGAACATTCCTACCATATTAGGTTTGAAATTAAGAGGGGAATGTATATGAAGGAAGGGGTTGAGTGAGAGGCTTCATGGAAAATGTGAGCCTTTGAGAGAGGCTTGGCGGGGAGAGAGGAATGGCAACATGTTTTGGGAGAGGGCTTCACGCTCAAGATCTGGCCACAATCTCAGAGCTTCTTCTCGCTTGCCTTCCTCTCCGCCCTTCGCTGCTATCTCATCTCCTTCTGCAGGAACGCCCATCAACCGCATCCCCATCATGGCGAAGCAGATCCTCGACCTCTACATGCTCTACAAGCTGGTGACGGAGAAAGGAGGTCTGGTGGAAATCATCAACAAGAAGATCTGGAGGGAGATCACCAAAGGCCTTAACCTACCCACCTCGATCACCAGTGCTGCATTTACGCTTCGCACCCAGTAAGTCCTGAGGCTTCCACAAATCAATGTGCATTTCTCGGGGTGTGGCACGATACAACCAGGACCGTGGTTCCCAACCTTTTTGGACCAGGGACCGCTCTCCAACATTCGTACCAAAAAGGTAACAAATCAGTTTTTGGTCAACTTTAGATTCAGTCTGGTTATTTGGGGTGCCGATTCAGAAAACTGCATTGGATAGACCACATCAGCTCTAGTTTCTCATTCAGAACATATGCCATCCCGTAGTCACCATTTGCTTGCCCACAGAAAACCATACTGTGTTTAATCATCTAGAGCTGATGTGGTCTATCCAATGCTATGTTTTTATGTTATTGCGGGCATCGAATTGTGCCATTTGTAAGCCTCCCTGAGTCACCCTCAGGCTGAGAATGGCGGTATATAAATATGGTAAATAAATAAATGCCATTTTCTGAATCAGCACCCCAATAACCCCCAGAACAGGCCTAAAAACGAAGACAGCAAGAAAAAAATTCTTTTGGTTGAGCTGTGTTCTTATCCATAGTAGTAACGGTGAGGCCACGGACCATATTTTTGTTCTTGCGGACCACTGGTTGGGAACCACCAAATTAGAAGGATGAGGAATAAGCATTGCTGGGCCCATAATAACAAGAATATAAAATGGAGTTTGAGCACTGGTTTGTGCCAGCTGATGTTGAGTTTGCACTTAGCTGAGTTTGCATTTCGTGCCCTTTCTCTGGATCAGGAAAGGATTGCCCCATGGAGATGGATAAAGCTAAACACAATGTTTAAAAGGGGGCTCTTGACCAGTGCTGCTCCCCGTGGTTGGCCCTGGACATCTTAAAATGTGATGATGTATTTTCTAAATTGAGCTTGTTTCCTGGCTAGGGTTATTGCATGGTCCTTATAGAATTCTTATTATATTCCGTTCTCAGTTCATGTCAGTGCTCCCGACTGTTTGTTTTGCTCTGCTTCCTTTCAGGTATATGAAGTACCTCTATGCCTATGAATGTGAGAAGAAGTCCTTAAGTTCTCCGGCCGAGCTGCAGGCCGCCATTGATGGCAACCGGCGGGAGGGCCGGCGGCCCAGCTACAGTTCTTCCTTGTTCAGCTACTCCCCGGCGGCCCCGGGGCCTCCCTCACTCCTGTGTCCTCCAAAGATCCGCTTCCCCATCGTCAGCTTGGCCACGGGCAGCGGGACCAGCAGCCCTCACCTGTCCACAGCAGGCGCTCTCAGGAAAGGTTGGTCTTCGGTTGGCTCTGACAGTTGGGACGCAATTGCTGGGTGCACCATCTACCCACAAAGGTCACCTAGACTGCCAGAAAGGCCTAGTGCTCCAGCAGTTTTCTGAATTCCAGTCACTATGTTATTAAATGATGTTGTGAAGCTTGCCTCATAGTTGTGAAATTGCAGAGGGGAGTCACTCTCCAGCCATCAAGTCCCTTTAATTGTAGATCCAAGTGAAGCTTCTTTTCCCCAGCTTGTGCTGTACGTTTTCTTGTGGGCAGGCCAGCGGCACATTAATAACACTATGGAACAAAGTTTGAAACAGAAATCTGTTCCTGGTTTGAAAGAGTGTTATTTCCTAATTAATAAATACAGAAGGTTCAATGTTTTTGAATATTTACATAAAACTGTAATTTAAGACTGTCCAACTCTGATGAAACCATTATTCTAACCTTCTTCAGTGTCAGTGTGCTAACTTATCCTTCCAATAGTAATAGAGTAAAATAATAAATGTAATTAAAAGAATAATAATAGTGTAAAATAATGGAAATATAATAATAATAATAATAATAATAATAATAATAATAGTAAAATAATAAATATAATAAAAATAATAATAGAGTAAAATAATAAAGTTCTGGGGAGGCCCTGCTCTCGACCCCGCCTCTATCACAAGTGAGATTGGCGGGGATGAGGAGCAGGGCCTTCTCAGTGGTGGCCCCTCACCTGTGGAATTACTCCCCGGGGAAATTAGATCAGCAACATCCCTCCTTTCCTTTAGAAAAAAATTGAAAACTTGGATTTGGGACCAGGCATTTGGACATTCTGGCAGCTAAAGAAAGGACTTGACGATGGACAGGAATTGACTAAACGGAATGGAATTATGGAACTCTGAACGCTGAACTTGAGATTAGTTTTATTGTTTGTGTTATGTACTGATTGTTTTAACTTGCTAATTGTTTTAAATGCTGTTTTATATGTATGTATATCTTGTATAGGCATCAAATCGTGCCTTTTTGTAAGCCGCCCTGAGTCCCCCTCTGGGGGTTGAGAAGGGCGGGGTAGAAGTACCATAAATAAATAAATAAATAAATAAATAAATAAATAAATAAATAAATAAATAAATAAAATAATGGAAATGTAATAATAACAGTAATAATAGAGTAAAATAATGGAAATGTAATAATAATAATAATAATAATAATAATAGAGTAAAATAATGGAAATGTAATAATAACAGTAATAATAGAGTAAAATAATGAAAATGTAATAATAACTATAATAATAGAGTATAAATGTAATAATAACAATAATAAATAGAGAAAAATAATAAAAGTAATAATAATAAATAGAGAAAAATAATGAAAATGTAGTAGCAGTAGTAGCAGTAATAATAATAATAATAATAAATAGAGTAAAAATAAGTGTAATAAAATGATAATTAATAACAGAGTGAAATAATAAATAACATTGACTCAAGTATAGGCTTTCTCAGCCTAAAAAGGGGGCCAAAAATTCAGCTTATATTCGAGTATATATGGTAGTTGTTCTACTCCAGGAACTTCTTTTTGTGGCTACCACAAACTATATTGAATTGGGTTGTTGTAGGTTTTTTTGGGCTGTATGGCCATGTTCCAGAAGCATTCTCTCCTGACATTTCGCCTGCATCTATGACCGGCATCCTGAGAGGTTTTGAGGTCTGTGAGGTATCTTGTATTGGTTGAGGCTTTATGAGGTATTCATTGAAATACTAGAGCAAAATGTGCTGCAGGATGTCCCGCAAACACAACTTTTTGGCAGTTTAATAAACTTTTCCATGTTTTTATGATAGAACGCATTAGGAAATGACATTTATAACTCAGGGGAAAATCGTGTTCCATAGTGTTATTATTTATGCCTCTCCTTAGACATGGGATGCTAGACGACTGGAATGCTTCAGCAGAGCTCTTCTTTCAGTCTTCCTCTCTCGGGCTCTGGGCTTCTTTCTCTCAATATCTCTTTGTTGGTCAGTCAGGACTTGCTGGGCCATCAGCACAAGTCGTAAAGGAGAAAGCAGAGAGCTCAAGTATTCTTACTTGGCAGCAACCCTTGGAGTTTGTGTGTTCCTTTCAATGCCAGGTTGCCCGCTGAGGGGCAGCCCCTCTCTGTGTTCGGAAGGCAAGGTGCCTGAGCTGCCTTCTCGCTTTTCTAGGCGATGGCGTCCCCCTGACTGTTTCCACGCCAAACCGTATTGCCATGCCTGTGACTCTGGCGAATCAGCAGGCCACCGTCGCAGCTGCCGCCGCTGCTGCCGCCGCCAGGACAGCCACCCTGGAGCAGCTGAGGGAGAGGCTGGAGTCGGGAGAACCGGCGGAGAAGGCTGCGCGCATGACCGAGGAGGAGCAGCGGTTTGTCCAGCAGGCGTTCCAGCGCAACCTGTTCAGCATGGCGCGGCAGCTGCCCATGAAGATCAAAATCAATGGCCGAGGTGAGGCGATGGTGGGAGGGGGGGGGCTGCTGCGGCACTTCCCTTCCCGGCTGCAGAAAAGGACGAATTCTCCCTCATTATCACACTTGTCTTGCTCCTTGTCTGGCTCCGGCACCACAATGCTCTAGAATCCCTTACACAAAGGAGGGGGTTCAGGAGAGGGGTGCAAACAAGAAGTGGCAAACGTAAGCCCTTTGGCCACATTTAGACTCTCAGCTTTCACTTCATTTGCACCTCCGGGGTCGTTGGAGGATTCCTCCCCTTCTCAGCATGCACCTGACCTTTCAGGAAGAAAGAATCCATCTCTTCCTTCCTGTAGATTGGTCCTAGGGACATCTTCTGGAAACCAGTCCACTTCAGATGACCGCTATGGCATCTACATGTAGTCTGGAGGCCCGATGTCTCACAGATTGGGGTCTTTGAGTTCCCTTAATTGCCGTATATACTCGAGAACAAGCCGACCCCAATATAAGGCGAGGTACCTAATTTTATGACGCAAGTACAAGCTGAGGGTTGGAAATGTAGCAGCTACTGGTCAATTTCAAAATAAAAATAGATACCAATAAAAGTATGTTAATTGAGGCATCAGTAGGTCATTTTTTTTAAATTTCTACTGTATTGCAAAGAAAAACTAGCTCTGTAAGTGAAAAAGTAGGGTCAAAAAAACAATATGGTATCAATAATAATAATATGCATTTATTTATTTATTATGTCAGGAGTGAACCGAACAGTTGTATTGTATTAAAGCACACACACACACACACACACACACACACACAAAGTTTGCAAACTTGGCATTCTATTAAATGTCCTTTGACCAGTAGCTGGCCACTTGGAGTGTCTCTGGTGTTGCTCCAAGAAGGCCCTCCCTTGTGCATGTGGCAGGGCTCAGGTTGCATTGCAGCAGGTGGTCTGTGCTTCGCTCTTCTCCACACCCACATTTATTCATTTATTTATTTATTTCTGGCATTTGCACCCCGTCTCTTCTCTACCCCCGAAAAAGGACTCAGGACGGCTTACATTAGTAACGGTGCAAGACTGCTACATCACAATTACAATAATATAACACAGTCAAATACAAACAATAATTAAAACCAATGCATATAGCATTAATTAAAACAATAAAACAAAGTCACAAGGTCATCTGCCGCAACGCCATTCCAGTCAGTGTTCATTATGGTCTGCTGCCCGAAGGCCTGGTCCCAAAACCACAATTTTAATTTTTTTTCTGAAGGCCAGGAGGGATGGAGTCAATCTTATTTCATTTGGGAGTGCACTCCACTTGGTGACCCCATTTCTTAAGGTTGACTCTGCATCTCGTGGTGCCAGAGCGCAGTCTGTTCAGCGCCTTCCAAGTTGCCCAGTCTTCTGTGTGCCCAGGGGGGAGTCTCTCATTTGGTATCAGCCATTGATTGAGGTTCTGGGTTTGAGTCTGCCACTTTTGGACTCTCGCTTGCTGAGGTGTTCCAGCGAGTGTCTCTGTAGATCTTAGAAAACTATGTCTGGATTTAAGTCGTTGACGTACTGGCTGATACCCAAACGGGATGAGCTGGAGATGTCACTGCCTTGGTCCTTTCACTACTGATTGCTACTCCCTGGCGGATGTCAGGTGGTGCAATACCAGCTAGACAGTGTAATTTCTCCAGTGATGTAGGGCATAGACATCCTGTGATAATGCGGCATGTCTCATTAAGAGCCACATCCACATCCATAGCATGTTGATACGTGTTCCACACTGGACATGCTTACTCAGCAGCAGAGTAGCAAAGCACAAGCGCAGATGCCTTCACTGTGTCTGGTTGTGATCCCCAGGTTATGCCAGTCAGCTTTCACATGATATTGTTTCTAGTGCTCACTTTTTGCTTGATAATAATAATAATAATAATAGAACTTCCTTTGTCTCCCGCCCTATCTCCCCATGGGGACTCAGACTGGCTTCCAACATAGTAACTGGCAAACATTCAATACCTATATCAACAATGCAGAGCTAGATATAGATCTATAATTATATATACTAATTTCACATATGCATTTCCCCCTGAAACATTTGCAAATCCTCTCTATATATGTGCATTTCCCTCCTGCAATATTTGCAACCCTATATATCTATCTTCATATCTATCTATCTAGATATCTCTCTATATAGAAATAATTATATCTATATAGGATTTGCAAAGACTTTCAAACATGCAGGGGGAAATTCATATACAAATTTATATACATATACGCGCACGCACAGATATGTGTGCATATATGTATATGTGTATATATACATATATATAGGTATAAGTGTATATATAGGTACCTTTATATATTATTGATATCTATATATAGGATTTGCAGAGACTTGCAAATATGTGAGGGGAACATTCGTATATAAATTTATATACATATGCGCGCACACACAGATGTGTGCGTATATGTATATGTGTATATATACATGTATGTATGTATAGGTATAGGTATAAGTGTATATATAGGTACTTGTATGTATTATTGATATCTATATCTATATAGGGTTTGCAGAGACTTGCAAATATGTGAAGGGAACATTCATATATAAATTTATATATATATATATGCGCACACACAGATATGTGTGCATATATGTATATTTGTATATATACATGTATGTATGTATGTATAGGTATAGGTATAAGTGTATATATAGGTACCTGTATGTATTATTGATATCTATATCTATATAGGATTTGCAGAGACTTGCAAACATGTGAGGGGAGAATTCATAAAAAAATATTGTGTACATATAGATACAGATATACAGGTACTTGGAAATCTCTAGATATCTCTATGTGTATAGGATTTGCAAAGATCTGCAAACATATGAGGGGAAAACTTCAAAAGGAGCAAAATGCACACATAAAGTTAATATAATTAATCTTGTCAATGGAACCATCAGTCTGCTCTGGATTTTTATGTGAGATTTGAAGGTACGATCCCAAATGCTGAACACGGTTCCCTTTGACTCCCCCTTCCCCCAGAGCAGCGGCGTCTTCTCTGTGGGCTCAGTCAAATCAAGTGATTCCTCCCACACGTTTCAAATTGACAAACCAAGATGGAGGACGGCGCAAAACAAAGGTCTTTCAGTTGCAGATTGTCCTCTAAATAACCGGGCTCCAGTTAGCAGGTGGACCAGGCATTCTCCAGCTGGGTCAATGTATTGGGCTTCCTCAATAATAGGGCAGGCACCAACCAGCTCATGTCAGTGTTTTCCTCCTTCTCTAGAGGATAAATCGGATTCGGCATCGACAGCGGCCGCCTTGAATTGGACCCCATCTGGCTTCGGAAGCATTAATATGTCAGTGGAGATCAATGGCACAATCTATGCCGGTGAGAGAGAGGATCTGTTTCTGGAAGTCGGGAGGAGGGTTTGAGGGTGGTGGAATCCTTGGAAAATGCCCTCCTGTGTGCAAAATGGAGCATTTGCTGATGTGCTTCCTTTGGCATCTGACTGGCACACGCATTGCCCCGGATTTGTTACGGAGTCAGAATCTGGCTGCTGAATCAGAAACCGGGCTCTTTCAGGTTTTATTGATCGACACTTGGCACTTTGTGAATTGGTGCCAGCTAGCTTTATCTACTGCGGTTTTTAGAATTGTATTATTTTGATTTTATGCTATATGTGTTGACAGGGGTTGTAGTTATAATTTTATGTGACTTATTTTATACTTATGCACCGTTTTTACCTGCTGCATGTTATATATGCACCCTGGAGTACATATATAATGTTCAGGTTGTTGTAGGTATTTTCAGGCTATATGGCCATGTGCTAGAGGCATTCTCTCCTGACGTTCCGCCTGCATCTGTGGCAAGAGGTAGTGAGGATGCTTGCCATAGATGCAGGTGAAACGTCATTAGAGAATGTCTCTAGAATATGGCCATATAGCCCCAAAAAACCTACAACAATCCAGTGATTCCAGTCATGAAAGCCTTCGACAATACAATGTAATGTTCGTGTGTGGGATTAACATAACTCAAAAATTATTGGGCGAAATGACACCAAATTTGGACACAACATACCTGTCAGGCTAACAAGTGACCATCACTCATAAAAACACTGAAAAACACAGCAAAAAGAGACTTTAAAAGTCGTAAAACAAGAAATACATTACAATGCATGCGCAAAACCACACACACACACACACATATATATGCAAACACACACACACATATATATATACACAAATATATACACACACATATAGACACACATGCATATACAAAGCACAGACTGGGCCACAGCAACACGTGGCAGGGGATGGCTAGTATATATATAAATAAATGTAATGTTTGCTTGTGGGATTAACATAACTCAAAAACCACTGGGTGAAATGACACCAAATTTGGACACAATATACCTATCAGGCCAACAAGTGACCATCACTCATAAAAACACTGAAAAACACAACAGAAGAGACCTTAAAAGCCATAAAACAAAAAATACATTACAACACATGCGCAAAACCACAAATATACACATATGTACAAATATAAATACACACATATATGCATATATACACACAAAAAACACATATACACAGACTGGGCCACAGCAACACATGACAGGGGATGGCTAGTGTGTGTGTGTGTGTGTGTGTGTGTATATATATATATAGAGAGAGAGAGAACTAAGATACTTCAAATTATTTCAAGCAATTAGAACCAATGCCATCAAATCCAGAATTGAAAAGTTGTCAACAGATCCCCAGTGTAGACTCTGCAAGGAAGCAAATGAAATAATGGATCCCATCCTCAGCTGCTGCAAGAGATCGTGCAGACAGTCTATAAGTAGAGGCATAATACTGTTAATATAAACCGCACTTGTATTCCGGCCTCTCTCCCCGGGGGACTCAGGGCAGATTCCAGCAAACAAAAAGGCGAACATGCAATGCCTCAATGACAGTAAACACCAATATAAAAACCCAAGATAGCCCCACATAAAGGGCAGTTTACACATAAGAACTATCATTTAAATAAAACATAATCAATTGAAAACTATAACTAACATAGAACTTAAAGGTATTAAACATCAGAATGGTGGGAGGTGAGGTCCGGAATCACCTGGAAGGCCGGAGTTTGCCCGTGCCTGTCCCAGAGGCGCTTCTCTTGCTCGGCTAACCTTTCTCCACGCTCTGCCCCACAGGAGTCCTGTTTGCTCAGAAGCCTGTCGTCCACCTCATTGCCGGATCGAGCGCGCAGAGCACCGGGGGCGGGAGCAGCAGCTCCTCCCACTGCTCCCCCAGCCCCACTTCCTCCAGGGGAACGCCCAGCGCCGAGCCCTCCACCAGCTGGTCTCTTTAAGCGGGAAGCCGGCGCTCTCGCTCGTGGGACGGCTCCTCTCGGAATCTCGATGGTGACCTCGCCTTGAGGAACCTGCTGCAGGGAACCCCGCGGTTCTGCAGCCAGTCAGGTTCCCGTCCGGATGGGCTTGCTCTCCATGTAGCCTTTCTTCAGGTCTTGCTGTGTCCTCCATGGAAAAAATAAAAGAAGGGCAATGGGGGTTTTGTGGGTGAGCGGGGGGTGGGAGGGTGGGGGGGGGGGGGGACACAGGGCGTGTTTCAATCAGGGATCCTCCGGACGGGCTGTGCATTTTGTGTAGATGACTGAGCATCACCAGGGTACCCAAACAGCCAAGACTCCAAACTGTGTGATATGGGGCCTTTGCTTTTGGGCTCCTTCACCGGGCGCCCCCAACACTTCCTTCCTCTCACATGACTGGTGTGTTGACAATCCTTCCCCTGAAGGCCGGGGGACATGTACGGTCGCTCTTTATTCTCCGCTCACGTTCGCAATGCCTCTCCGCACCTTGCTCCACCCAAAGGGGCCGCACACACCCGCTTGTGGTCCTGGCTCCAACCCCCCCCCCACCCTTTTCCCTTCCCTTGCCACAATCCAGTTGATAGCCACAAACAAAGCAATGGGATTCACATACATACATCAACAAGGGGCTCAATCCCATTCTTTGTCCTGACTAGAACCAGTGGAACTCATAAAGGTGGCAGCAGTTCAGTGCAACCAGCCTAGTTGGGACTAGCAGTTGAATTTAGGACTTGCCATCCAGCAAAAGGGTCGTCATCCTGGTTGGCGCCTGAGGTTGGATTTAGGCTCAGTTTGCTCTCCTGTGACTTTGGTCTCCTGCCTTCCTCCGGAGGAAGTTCCTGTCTGGCATTGCTTCATTTTTGTGCATCTGCAGTGCTTCCGCTGCATTTCCACACTGCAAATAGGGTTGAAATACTCTGCCCAGGCTTTGTCGTCCGGCCTTAGCTGCTGCTGCTGCCGTCAAGGGTTTTCTCTCCCAGTGTTGTGAAGCTGCTCCACAGTTGCCCTCTGCTACATGCCTTTACCCCTCTCTCTCAAGTGTGAATGTAGACATGGGTTTTGGCAATATATATGTATATAATTGCCTGTCAAAAAAGTGAGTGGTAAAGGTGGCTGGAGATAAATAACCCCAGGGAAGCCGCCATGATGTTGTCCTTCCTCTTTCACAAGGCTAGAACAGGAACGTAAATGCCTGGACACTGAACTGCGCCAGGTCTACCTTTGTAATGAACCACACTGACCATCCTCTAGAGCGCCATGTTGATGGAGGCAAGTGGAAGTGGAAGAAAATGTTGACCACGCTCAGAGCATTTCCGAGCATCTCAAAGTGAATCCCTCTTGGCCCATCATCCACTCCCAGGTTCCTTCCCAATGACTTCCCCTTAAAAATTGATCCAGGGAACGGGGGGGGGGGGGCTATTTGTGGGTGTCCTGAACACGCCTTGAGCCCACTCCTTGCTTCTGCTCACTCCTTACAGGTGGCCTCTCCTGTCCATCAGTGGGATTGACAGCCTGTCTCCATGCCAGCAGGGCCATCCCCCCTCCCTCCCCTCCCCCACCCTGGCGAATCTCAGTCATCCTCCAGACTTGCATCAGCGCCTCCTGAGCAGATGAAATACCTCAGACAAAATATGTACTTATTGCTGTGTTGTTGTTGGTTTTTATTTCTCTTCTGGAAGGATTTGCATATGTTAAAGCTTCTTTTTATACGTCTTGTTGACTGCTTTTTATTTTTAATTTTATATATTGTAGCACCAAAGACACACCAAAAAAAGAGAGAGAGATGAATGAAAGAAAGAAAAGAAAGGAACTCCCTGGGTCTGACGGATTGGAAAGCTTTGATGTGGCCAATGTAGCATGGAAGCATTTTGGCAGGTGTCTCAGGATACGGGTGATGGATGGGGGCCGTGGCCTATTAGTTGCAGGCTCATTTCTCAGGTTGTTGTGCTCTCGCGCTCCTCCGCATGGTCTCCTCCCATCGAGGCTCCTCACTTCAGGGTTTGCAAACTCATCACTTGTCTTTGCAACCTGAAGTGAAGATGCTTCTGGGTTCTTCTTTCTTCGTGTCATCCGCAGCAAAGCCTTGGCCTCCCTTTTGGATCTTTCTTCTGGTTTGTGGAGGATCCCAGCCCAGACGTGCTCATATTGGAGCACCGGCAAGGCCACCGGGTCTCAGGCTAGGAATCTCTTCCCCTTTCCCTTTCCCAAGTGGCTTTAGAAGAAGAGTGGATTTCAGGGAGAAAGCAGGGTGCCCAACTGGAACATTGCCTGTTGGATTTCTACTCTGTTCATTCTCAGTCTGAAGAACTAATTGGAGACTTGTTTTCCAGCCCTGGAGAAGCGTGATCTTCCTTCAGATCTCAGTTGTTGAAGTATTTCTCAACAAATGTCTGCAGAGGAAAAATGGGGTGTGAAAACCTTTAAAGAGCAGGATATAACAAAACCAGAACTTGGGCCTACCTTCACCTGGGCCTCTTTCTCTCTGTCTCCGAGGAGTGCGTTCAAACTGCTCAGTGAGATTCGGCCTCCTCCAGAAGATCTCTGTGTCTCCTCAGCGACTAATCCGCTGACGTGCCTGGCTCCTTCTCATCGGTTGCATGAGCAGAGCCTCTCGGAGCCCTTCCATGGTTGCCAAATGGCTTCTAGCAGCCTGAGCTTCCTTCTCTATTAAGTCTTCAACCTCATGGCTGTTGTGACATCTCTTTCAGGAACAGTTCTTCACAGGTGAGGGCCAGAACTTGGAAAAAGGGAATAAAAGGATTCCTTTTGACCCCGCAGTTCTCCCAGTCTGAGAGATTTAGTCCCAAAACACTACTTTTGCAAAAACAGAGTAGCAGACAGTGGAACAGCCCACCATTATCTTAGTGCAGGTATGGGCAAACCCAGTCCCAGGGGCCAGATGTGGGCCCTTGGGCTCTTTTCTTAGGCCATCTTCTCTCTCACCATCCTATCCTTCCTTCTTACTTCCCTCTTTCTCCCTCCTTTCCTTCCAACCTTCATCCTTCTTTTCCTTCCCTCCTCTCCCCTCTTCTCCTTCCTTCCCTTTTGTCTTTCCTTCCTTCTCCTCTTCCTTCCCTTCCACCCTTTTGTCCTTTTCCTTCCTTTCCTCTTCCTCCTCCTTCCCTCCTCTCTTTCCCTTTCCCTTCCCTTTTGTCCTTCCTTCCTTCTCTCTTTCTTCCTCCTTCCTCCCTTCTTCCTTCTCCTCCCTTCCTTCCTTCTCTCCTCCCTTCCCTTTTGCTTTCCTTCTTTCTCTTTCCTTCTTCCTTCCCTCCCTCTCTCCCTTCCAACCTTTCATCCTTCCTTCCCTCTTTCCTTTCTTTTTAACTCCCTTCTCTCCCTTTCTCCTTCCCTCTCTTCCTCCCTTCCTTTTTGTCCTTCCTCCCTCCCTCCCTAAATCCCTCCCTTTCTCCCTCCATCACCGGGCAGCCAGCCTCTGAGCAAAGAGTGCTAGTATGTTAATTAGAAAGTTTGCCCATGGCTGGCCCAGTGGGACCCAAAAGCATTGCTGTGAACTGTGTGCATGAGCTTGTGGCATGAGGCCCTCAGTGTTCCTGTGGCACCACACTCAGACTACCTCCTGCATCAAAATGCTGTTGTTGACTTCTTGGCGTGCCACAAAAGCAGTTCTGTCACCCAGGAGTTATCCAGTGTAGAGTGCCCATTAAGAGACTTCGCAGGTAGCCCTGGTCTATGCATGGTGAGTGACTAGGCCGTAACTTGGTCTGCACAACAATCCTGTCTGTCCCGGGTCAAATTTTAATGATCTGGATTCCCCCCACGATGCACGCATGCGTGCGTGAATGGCAGAGAGAGCCATTCCACACTTTGATGTTCCCTCTTGTCCGCCGGCAGCTGAAGACGACAAGACTTGGGATGTTTTAGGGCAGACTCACATTGCAAACAGCCAAGCCGATCCTTTTTTGAAAAAGCAGCCCTGAAGTCATTTTTCGATCAGGGCCCGCTAAAGCAGAGAAGGGGAGTTGTGGCCCCTCCAGATGTTTTAGACAACATGGTCAGTGGCAAGGGATTGTGGAAGATGTGGACAGCCAGAAGTTGATTGTAAGGGGCAAGCAAGGCTGTGAGTTCTCCAGAAAGCTTCCCTTGGCCTGAAGTAACGTTCTGGTGGACGTTCATGCTTTCTCTTAGTGAGGGTCTTGGCTAACCCGTTGAAGGAATGGCATTACTCCTGTTTTGCGGCCGTGTCTTACACACTGGCAGTGCTTCTTTCTCTGGTTGGGAGATTCCATGGCCTTGCCTCTTCTTCTCTGGTTGATCGCTGGCTGCATGCGCACTGTAACAAGCGAAGGTCCTTGCGCAGTTGGGGAGTCAGAAGCTAGGCCTGTTCCATGGAGACTACAGAATGCAGCTTTTTCCTCAGGGTTAGCCCTATAGGTTTGCCCTCTTCCTCTTCTTCTTCATCATCATCTTCCAGAATATTACCAAATTGACATTAAACAAATGGCAAGAATCCAACCTGGCTTTTTTCCCCTAATGGGAATTTTATGAAAGCCTCTGTGGGAGAGAGTCCACGAGTTGCTGCTACACTCTGTATCAATAATGGCTCAATGCACACACTCCCATTTTAGCTCACTAGAAAAGACACAATTAGATCACCGACTGAATCCCGCTCGTAGAAGGAATTGCAGCGCTGTTGTGAGAGTCAGTTGGCCATCCTTTGCTCTTGGTGATAGGATACATGACTTTGGGGCCTTAGTGGTACTAGTGTTTATTCCCCCCCCCCCCCCGATACTAGTCTGCATCTCTTCATAGAAGAGATCAGATTGGCAACCAGAGTTGAGCTTTGGGAGAACACAGGCCCAAGGAATGTCTTCCTTCTGCATGCAACGTGTTGTTGGTCGTGTGCTTCTTCCATCTGGGCAAAGCTAACGCTTGGGAGAGTTCCTTTTGTGGGGCTGCAACCCCCTTGAATCCCCACTGACTGTGCCAGTTGAGGACTTCTGGGAGTTGGAGTCTCAGAAAGTTAATTTTTAGAGCTTCTGTTTTGGAAACAGCCAAACTCTTTGGCTTCACTGGAGTCTTCTTTTTGCCTTTTTGCTTTTTGTCTGTTCTCCCCTCTCCTCTGGCCCCGCCACTTTGAAGAGACACCCAGCGGGTTTTACCTGAAAGGGGAATGAGACCACAAATGGTGCGCCCACAAGAAGGCCTCGCACTCCCAGCTGATGCCTTTGGCCTT